AGGGTGAAGACAAGTGACTTGTGGTTGCACCAGTGGAGAAGAGGGCGCCCATGCAGGGGTGTAGAGGTGGGGGAAATGTGGTCACAGCAGCAGGCTGAGGTGCTGAGCTTTGTGGCTGTATTGCATCTCGGTGAATTGATTCGATTCTAGCTAAATATCCACATCTAGTAGATAAGCAATTGCTGGTGACTGAGGGTGGTTTTATTTTAAATTCATTATATGAGCTTTGTGGCTAATAAAGTTAAACAGAATACATTTACTTCTCTTTCCTAACAGGAATCAACTGTGCTCTGCAGCAGCTTGTGGGCCGTGGTTTATCCATGCCCTATGTATCCAGCCCTCAGTACAAGGGGAAATTGTTCTTTCCATTATGGCTTTATATTGCCGATCTGATACAATATTTAAACAGATTATCTCAATGCTCTGTTTGTCCCAAACCAATTTTTGCTTTGGCCTATAAAGTGAATCTTCCTTTCAGCGGCTTCTGTGGTACAGGATGTAGTTACATGCATCAGCTAGTTCAAAACACCCATATACAGCATGGATTTAAAGCTGAATAAACACACAAAACCCTTAGCTAGGACTATAAATGTCACTGTATTTTTATATATGTCTGGTTTTTTCTTTTTAAGAGAATAGGATTACTGCATGCAGCTATAACTGAAAGTCCTTTGATAATTCAGTGGGTATTTTAAACCTAGCAATGATATACTTTCATAAAACCACACATCCCTGTTTTCTGAAGGATGCTAATAAGATGGTTAGCTTTGCTTTCATGCTCGATGTGTTTATGAGTGCTCTTGCCCATTTAGTTGCATCTCTGAATTTAATGCCCCACTCTGATTTCATAGTAATTGTCAGGAGTCTTTTTTTCTTTTTGTATGTCCCCACTCACTGTCTGAAAAATGCATTCTCCTCATCGCTGACCCCATCAGTCTGTCTCCTCATGGTGCTTGTAAAGAAAACCCTCTCCACCAAGGACAAAGATGTTTTTAAACAAGCCAATCTGATAGAAAACATAGTTTGCTTAACCCAGAGGTGACCAAGAAGCAGTTGCTGGCTAACTGTGCCCAGCCTTGAGTTGCTGTGTATGGCTGCCCTTCTCCAAAGGCTGCATGCGCTGCCACACTGTGCTGTTCATTATCTGAATAGCATCTGCAGTTCCCTTCTCTGTTACAGATGCCGCAGTCTGCTTAGTTTTGTGCAAATGACACGCTGCCCTTATACTCCTGTGAGTTGTCTCTGCAGCTCCTCAGCCAGCTAACATCTCCACTGTCCTGCTTGAGACTTGTCCTGCTCCTTACCCTGGACACCCCAGTGAGCGAGTGCTGCTGGCCTGGCTGCCATGCAGGCATCCTGGGCATCCTCCCTCCTCACTGCAGGTTAGGTCCCAGCATCGAGACATTTGCTGCCCTGCTTCAAAGGCCTGCTCCTCTCCTGTTGCTTCTGAGCATCCTCTTTGCACCAAATTTTCCCATTTCATGGCTTTCTACCTGACATCTCCTGTCAATAACAAGGGGTTACTTTCTGACTCTCATCAGCCCAAGTTAGTTTCAGCATTGTGTTTGCGAGCAGAAAAGTGCTCGTCCATCTTTTGGTGTGTGCAGTAAGGGTTGCTTGTCCCACATAGTGGTGGCATGCAGCAGGGAACTCTGCTGAGTTTTTTTTTCCAGTCTACTAAGCTGTCAGGAAATGCTTTCTGTCTTCCTAGCCAGTGTGCTCATAAGACCAATTAAAAAAAATTTTAAAGAAGTTAGAAACCCATCTGTGCATGGCTTTCCTTAATCTTAAATCTTCACTAACTAGAGGGAGAATGCTGGATGCAAGTTTTAAATATTTGCGAAATAGTAACAATCATAGTAACCAATACTATTTACTTGGCTCTTGATTTAAATTGTGTATACAGACCATGTAACCTATGCCGGCAGCTACTGAAATAAAGTCCACTTCTCTATGTTCGCTTGCTTGTGTCCAGCCCTTTAAATCAGCTTACTTTATACCTTAGATAATACTTTTATTTCTATATATATCCTCTCTTCTATTGGCTACCCCAGATAATCCTGTGATCAGCCATGCAGCAGTGTCAGTTGAGTAGAATATGGAACGATGCTGATCATTTTCTCGTAGGCTGTCATACTAGCCCAGAAATAGCATCCGTCTACAATGGGAGAAGCTCTATTAACATTTACAACTGTTCCTCTTCCTGACCCCTGAGAATTGCTCTGTGGTAGATAAGCAATACTTTGTAATACATTTCTTTGCGCTCAGTATTTTGAAGTTGAATTCTGAAATACAAAGGCTCCTAATCCTGATCTGCTCTGGGATACACTGCTCTGCTCTTAGCAAGTGGTGCTCTGAATAGGATTAGCGTTTCAACAGCTTCTTTTTTTAACTGTGAGCAATAAACTAAAATAATAGGGCCTGATTCAGAGCTCTCTGAATTCAGTACTTTGGCTGGTGTGGGTTGGCTTTTGGTTAGGCCTCCCTGGAAAGGAGGGAGAATGTGTGAATTTTAGAGTTCCTGCTCCTGTGGGGTCTGTCCACACCGAGCTGAAATCCATGGATTTACAAGCCAACAAACACAACTGTAAATTTGACTGCAGGTGAAAAGAAAATGTGTGTTGCTAGTCATGCAGTTAAAACTTGTGTTTTTTAATAATGTCAAGGGCACTTAGGACATGCATGTAAACGAGTAAGCATTAGAGGTATTTCCGTGGCTGTTCCTTTTTTCTTCCCTCAGATGTGTGGAAGTACAGACCGTCATTGGGGCAGAACAGGGGCTGGGCACTGCGGCTGGGGAGATGAGCTGTTGGGTTGGGAGGGCTTGCAGCGACAGGCTGCACTGAACACAGGCCTTCAAATTCATTAGCTACGGGCCCATGGGTGAGAGCCAGCTGTGAGCATCTGGCCCTCAGGGCTCAGCACGTGATGTTACAGGCCTGTATGCTTCGACTAAAAGCAGTTTGGGGATTTACTGTGCCTGCACCGTGCAGGCATGGCACTCTCTACCAAGCAGAGCCCATTCCTGATTAACAGCTCTTGAGCGGGGCCTGGATTCCCAGTTTTTTTACCAGCCTGTTTATGAAATAGGTGATACCCTGAGCCCGCTTACTGGGCTGTAAGACTGCAGTTTTGCTGTTCCTTGCACGAGCTCTGAATTTCTGAACCTCAGCTTTCCACAGTGCTTTTTAAAAGCACAGCAACGGTGGCAATCCTGCAACTTTCTACAGATACCCTTCAAACCCAGTTTTACTAAGTTCCTTCTCTTCTCCCTGTTTCTTACACATCGTGCATGTATTTTGAGCTGTGTCTGGTAATTAAATGGAAAACAGATAAATTACTTGCAAATCGAAAATGCTTAGGGGGGTGGATCAAATCTCACATGCATTTGAATCTCAGTGTGTTTTCATCCTGTGTTATCGAAAGCTTTGGCATCGCGACCTGTAGCGCCGTGTCCTTTCCAAAACGCTCCACTCCTCGGAGCAGTGTGATGAGCAGTCGAAAGTGGCGGTTCCCACATGGCTGAGGTGGGGCTCTCCAGGAGTCGGCAGAAGGGCACTGCTACAGGCAGGGGACGCGTTGCAGCGGTGACAGTTGTACCGCATCCTGCAGCTCTTTATCTTGAGGACAGATTTCTGATTGCAGTGATCTGGAGGGGATCGGGAGCAACCTTCACGGCTCAAATAGTCCTTGGCTTCCAGTAGTTCCTCATAGCAACAGAGCACTTCATGACATTTAACTGATTCACCCTTGCAGGTTGACAAGAAGCATTGTCTCCATTTTGCAAATGGGAGAATAAAAAAGCTTGAGATGGGCCCGGGTTTGTGCTGATATCTGAATTTTGTTCCCAGCTCTGGGTCTTAGCGGGCTGTAGAGAAACACCTCGCCATTGCCCTTCAGGAATTGTCTGGGAGAGACCAAGCAGGAGTCCTAAGGGCTCCAGAAAGGGCTGTAGGTGTATTCTTCTCCCAGATTTGCTCAGGCAAATTAGTTGCAAGAGTATCTGTGTCCCCAGGCTGAGTCTCAGTGTGGTGTGCGCTGCTCGGGCTCCGAGGAGCGGTCCCTGCCAAGCAGGGGTGTGCAGAGCAGCACGGCAATGTGTCCAAGGACACCCAGATGGTCATGGCCTCGCAGCCTGCTCCTGTGCCCTTGGCTGCAACAGCCCCTCTCCTGTGGGGCCAGGCTGGGCAAAGAGAGGCAGGTGGAAGTGGGGTGATTTGCGTCTCTCGGTTACGTGCCAGGATCCAGAATATTTTTCCAGCCATTTTAGAGAGGTGCAGGTCTCTGAGTGATGGCACTGACAAAAGCTTGGGTGTGCTGCTGTAACGTGCACCATTGTAAATGAGTTGACCTGCATATTCTGTTTCCTAATCCTGAGTGATACTGTCAGCTCAGAGAGCTGAGCCTGGCTAATGACTGAAATCCACTGTGCTTTTCTTAGCAAGGATGTGTGGTGATCTGAGATAGTTGTTAAGTGCTACATCCTGAGAATCAGAACTGCACGTGCCCCATGGGTCCAGCATGTTTTAGACAGATAAATGGGGTTTGAGATGATCAGGGAGTTACTATGAAAAGAACTGATGTCAGGTACACAGTAACCTGCAGTTAACTAAGAGGGAGATTAAATTAATGGGGTTTTCCCTCTGATAAAGATAATGAAGAGCTTCCAAGGACTTGGTTTGTAGCTCCTACACATGATATCCGTAGGTACTGTCTTCCTGGCACAGGGAATGCCAAACAGCTGTGTGACAAGAGCAGTGCAGCCAGTGGTGCATGCCACTGAGCTGTCTGAGACCTCGTCGGTACTCTCTGAGCTGAAGGAAAATTCGGGCAAGGGGGAGGAGTAGAAGAGAAAATGGGAATAGGGACTGCAGGAAGGGGTTCAAGGTGTCCTGGGACCCACTGCCATACAGAACCCATTTCAAGGGAGGAGGGCGTGGCATGGTGCGGGGGGAGAGTCAGAGGGGGAAATAACAGCTACGATCTCTCTGTGGATTTAGGGTTTACTGTCAATCCTGCGTAAACTGAAAAGCGCCCCAGACCAGGAGGTGAGAATCCTCCTCTTGGGACTGGATAATGCAGGCAAGACCACACTCCTGAAACAGCTGGCATCTGAGGACATCAGCCACATCACGCCAACACAGGTGAGGAAGGCCTTTCCCTGCCCAAGGCAGTTCTTGTGGTCCCACCTACCTTATTATATAAAGCACTAAGGATTCAGTAGAGTATTTCAGTAAAAGGGAGAGCAACTGGAGCCAACTGGTGCACCATTAAGTTTGTGTATTATCTGCGTAAGACAAGGCTCCCTGAAGGAGCCAGAGAGCAACAGGCCAGATCTGTCAGATAGTGCAAAAGTGGATGAGTGCCGTGGAGTTCTGCAGAAGGCTTTTGGGTCGTGCTAGGGTTGCGTCTCCTTGCCAAAAGCAGACATGTGCAGGGGATGCTGCAGCATTGGGCAAGCCCCTGTCTCCTTGCATCTTTTACCCAGCCAGCTCCAAGGGTCTTGCATATTCCAGCACTCCCTCTCTCATGCCTCTGGTCCCTTTTCTTTGAGCCTCAGGCTTGGGGCGAGGGATGTCTCCCATCAGAAGCACTGCAGCATCGCTCCTGTGTTGACCAGAGGAGGTTGCTAGAGAGCTATGGGAGATGCTTCCCCCCACCCCGTAGCTGCCTCCCAAAGCTCCCAGCCCCGACACCCCGATTCCAAGCCCCAGTCCCCAGGGTGGTGTGGCAGCATGTTGCCAGCCCACGCCACATCCTGTTTTTCTACTTGAATGCCTTTTCAATTGGTGCTCTAATTGATGAAATGGACCCTTCAGACGTGCAGCTGTTGCTCTTTTAAGCCCGGCATTAGCTGTGTCGTGTCGAATTGAGCTGAGACCTCTGGCTTCGTGTTAGCTGGGACTTTACTCAGCTTTCACAAGCTCAGTCCTGCTTCTCACAGCGCCCTTGTTTTCTCCTTATCTGCATCTCCCACCTCTTCCTGCACCCACCCTGCTGAGCCCTCCCAGGGCACTAACTGCATCATATGTCTCTGTAGCCATGACAGCATCAACCCTTAACCCAAGAACACTGGCAAACTGGTGGTTTGGCGGCTGTGTTCACTTTCGCCAGTGCCTCTCCCACAGCCGATCCATCTCTGTGGCTGCCCAGCCCATTTAGCTGCATGTTGCAGGCATGGAATATATAAGGTGTTAATGTCTGCTTATGTACGTGCTCCAGCCATTCAGGTTTATGCTCTATGTGGCTTTGTTTCTGCTCTTTCCAGGGCTTTAACATCAAAAGTGTACAGTCTCAAGGCTTCAAGCTGAATGTATGGGACATAGGCGGACAGAGGAAGATCAGGCCGTACTGGAGGAACTATTTCGAAAACACTGATATCCTTGTGAGTATTGGCTGCACTTGAATGCTGTGTTCATGCAATGGCTTTCCAAGGTCTCAACCAGAAATTCAGGAACAAGTAATGTAATGTCCCAGTCCTCAGCAACACCATTGCCATTGTAACAGGAGTTATTCTGAGTGAAATGGCAAGATTGGTTGGGTGCAGTAAGAAAAATACAGTGATGTTTGAAGAAATCATTCGGTTATATGTTTTTACTTTCACAAGATGGTGCTGGTTATAGCCAGTTCCTTTCCTCTCATCTCAGTCTCCTTCAAATGATAGAACATTAATAACTTGTAGTTAACCCATCTATAGCTCCTTTCACTGGAGACTCTGAAGGCCTGTCCTGGGCATTAGTGACTTAAGCCTCATGTGTAGAGGTAGGGCAGTATGGTGCCTTTGTTTTCTATTGGGGAAACTGAGGCATGGCAGAATTAAATGCTATGTCTGGCATCAGATAGGAAAGCTTCTGGCTGAGGGACACAGAGCTTTGCTCCTTTAATCATAAGACTGTCCTTTAATGTATTTGACAACTTAGCTGTAATTACCTTACAATTAGCTACAGAGGACTACAATTATATTTACAGTGCAGGACCTTTGTGTTTCCATGCCAGAGCACGTTACCCTGGGACCCTCCAAGTGCTGTCCTGACTAGTTTCAAAGATCACTTCTAACATGAAGCTGTGTGTGCCGGGATGAAGGCAGGCTGGGGGCTCCAGGCCTCTCCCCACCCCAAGCAGTGTTGCCTGTGGGAACAGAGAAAAGGCTATTCTAAACAAGGTCTGCAGGGCTCCTGTGGGAAAACGGGAAGCTCTCTCGGAAAGACACCCTTCCTCCCTCCTGTCACACACACATACTCACTAGTGTGTCAGGAGCTTCAGTGCACTTCTATAGAAGGATCAGTGCACTAGGAGTAGGACTCTCTACTCCAAGGCTCATGTCAGGGGCCTGAAGGGCCTGGCTGTGCCTGCAGATTTAGAAAACATTGTCCAAATGAAGCTGTTATTTAAATAGGACTAATAAACCCTCAGTAATCTCTTTTGCAGATCCCCCTTTTTCAGCCTTAATTTGGAATCTGATGTTTGAGGGCAGCCACCACAGTAGAAACCCGGTTGGTTGCTTTTGCAAAGAGTAATGGTGAGATTTTCCTACAGGAAAGATCTGGGTTTGAGAAACTAGCAGGACACACTTCGCGTGCTCCTCTGTCGCCATCGAGAAGGGGGACATAGCATGGCTGTGAGGTGATTGTGCCCATTGAGTCCAAGTTCTGCAGCCTGTGTGTGGTGGGGAGGCAGTAGGTGTGCAGATCAAAGTCAACACTGCAAAGCAGCAGGTAGGGGATCTTTGCCTGCTATGGCAGGTGCTCAGGCTTCAGAGACTGTGCAACCGCAAAACAATATCTGGAAGACTCTGCTGGCAAAGGCAATGAGCTACACTGGCCTGTGGGCTTCCCCCCTTTCCAGTGTGTGCTGCATGGGAGGTGCAGAAATAAAGGTGAATTTGAAGACTGAAGGAGATGAAAGCAGTTATTTTCCCTGCCCTCCTCCCACCCCAGTTAAAGCAATGTACTGAGAAAACCTTTCTTTTCATACGAGTAAGAAATTGGGTAGATAGAAGCAGAATGTTTGGGGGAAGTGGCGGTGTGAATTTAGAGGGAGTAACTGGTGTGCACATGGACCTGAGCTTCCGTGCTAACACCCAGTTCCAGACTGGGAGCTGTCAGCACGTTAGTGCAGTGCTTTGCTATGTCCATACACACCAAAACCGGAATCAAGTATATGCTGATGACTCACTCACTCTCTCTTCTGCCAGCCCTCATCCCTGTTTTAGCCAGTAATTTTACCCTCTGACTTAACCTGGTGCAAGTTGTGCCTCTGTAAATTGAGCCAACTTATCCCTCATGTTATTTCTTCATCCAGTCCCACCACTTGCAATTTCTGCCCAACCCACTTACTCCAGGTTTTGTTTTGGCCTGTTGCTCAAAGGAGGCACCCAGCTTTATGGGGATTTCTTTCTCAAGCTCCATTTCTCCAACATGGTATACTCAATGGCTGTTCAAACTGGCAAACTGTGCTACCAAGCACCTCAGCCAGAAACAGGCTCTCGTGTGGCCCTGGCCGTAGAAGGAAGGTGGAGATGAGATATGCTACAGTTCCCAGGACCCCCTGCTTCTGTCTTCTCCTAAACTATATTGCACAAAGCAGAAAGGACCCTCTAAAGAGTATTAAAAAGCAGGAAGTGATTGCAAATTCAAATCCATGCAGGTGCCTTTGAATGAGAGCTTGGTCTTGCATCACACACCTGTGATATTTGGAAGCTTAACCCAGGCAAATAAGGTGTGGATATCTGGCTGATTGCATATTCAGACAGGCACCTGCAGCTATTTGGCACAGTACTTTCTGGTTTGGAAGTAGGCACTCCGCACATACTTTACCTTCTCTGTGCTGTGCTTTTGTGGCTTTTGCCCCGAGCACTGTTGTCTCCAATTCTCATCTTGCAAAATAGTTCCCTAGCAAGGAACGGAGCCATACTTTACCTTCTCTGTGCTGTGCTTTTGTGGCTTTTGCCCCGAGCGCTGTTGTTGCCAATTCTCATCTTGCAAAATACCTCCCTAGCAAGGAACGGAGTCGTGCAGGAGAAAGCCTGGCTGGTTGGGACTCAGAGCTCTTCCTTGCCAGTTAGAGAAGCACCGTAATATGGGAGGTGCTGCCTTTCGGTTGAGAAGTAGCACTCAACTATAGCATTCATGTGTTGCTAAGCTACCCCTGAGATGTCCCGAAGGAGGACAGATGACAGTCCAGTTTCACCCCACAGCACAGCTGCAGCCCTGCAGCTTCTTCCTTTCTTTTGGTCTGTGTTTCCTACCCCAAATGGGATGCACAGGGGTGGATGCTTGGGAGGGGCAGAGAGGACGGGTATAGCTGATACGGTATTGGTGCACGTGCTTGGAATCACATTACGGGGAGAGGCTGTGTGTCACGTCGTGCCCACGGGCCTTTCCCCATCATGTGGCACCAAGTGAATGCGCTGCTGACGCATCCCCACGCAGCTGTGTCCAGCCCTGCCGCGTGTCCCCCAGCCGCTGTCAGTGTGCATCAGCCCAGCCCCGGGAGGACCGCAGACCCCAAGTGATCAGCAGAGAGGTCTGCGAGGTTGCTGGGTTACCTCCTCAGGCCTGGCATATGGATTTTCCTGCTGCGTGTTTGGTCCCATTTCAAACAACTCTAACACTGCTCATTAAGGGAGTGCCTACAGTTTAATATATATTGCTGCTAGAGATCTTCCCTCCCCCTACTATTTGGTCGAAATTATCCTGGAAGTGTGGAGTCTTATGCTGAGACTGCCTGCAAGGATGCCATTTATCTTGATGGCGGGGTGCTGTGCTCATCTATTCCCTGAAAACCAGGCTGATGCTTGCTCCCTGTAAGCCACCAAAGAGCATGCAGATGACATGCTAGCAGCTTCAATCACTGCTGATGGGGAATGGCAGGGACTGGAGGCAAAATGCTCAGTGTTTGTCACCAGTCCTGTCCCTGTCTGCTGTCCCAGCACCCTTCTCCTTCAAAAACCTTCACATACCAAGTATTGAAAAAGGGTACCAGGCTATTCTTGTCAGAGTGTTATACTGAGGTTCTGCGTTTGTTTAGATGTAGCTTGATACTTGTGCACTCTGAACTGCAATAGCATTGCTAAGGGGAAGGAGGGTGGCTGGACTTAATAATTACATATTTAGGGGGACCTTTGAGGAGCCTTTTAGCCTGTGCAGATCTAGAGCTGCCTTCACTGAGAAGGCTCATTTGCATTTACAGAAAGAAATCAGCACATGCCATGCTGCTTGGAGAGGGTGGAGACGCCCTCCCAAGGCAGGGAGCCTGCGGGCCAGGGGATCCAGCCTTCTCCATACCAGGGGACAGGTGTATGGTTGGGACCTCCTTGTGGACCATGAGATGTGGTGCCCAGCCCTGAGAGGGTGGTAGGACTCTGTTGTCTGACTTGGTGAGCCAGCTGCTCACTGTCTTCTCCATCATCCTGGTGGACAAGCTGGCAGCTGAAGATGGAGTCTCGCAGGCTGGATCCAGCCCTCCTCCCCAGCCACCTGCTCCGGGAGGTTGCAGTAGGATCACCTGATGGAGAGGAGTTCAGTGTCCCCTGAGTGCCACTGTATGCCTTGGTGGCTTATTGAGGAGGTGATGCATCCTGCTAGAGGGCAGCATGGCATAGTCGCACCAGTGCAGTGCTTGTACACTGTTTGCTCCGGTGAAAGACCATGTCTGGCTCCCCAGGTTTTGCCCTCCTGTGCTCAGCTTCAGCTTGTAAGCCGGTCATTTGAAAAGATACCAGGCAGTCTCCTGTTCTCTTCAGATAATAGCTGGTGTGGAGATGGTGAGAGCATCCCCTGTACTGCCCCCGGCTCCTTTCTGATCCTACCCACGTGGCTGTCCACCCCCCAAGCTTTAAAAGAGATGGCTTTTCTCCTTTCATAACATCATGAAGTTTTGTCAACATTTGCTATAAATAATACTGGGGATCTTTGTGCCCAAAAGCATAATTACTAGGCTCAGCTCTCTTAAGCACGTGATACTGTGGAAAAGTATCTTCTGGGAAGAGTAACTTTTCCTCTCATTTCTTTTTTAGATCTATGTCATTGACAGTGCAGATAGGAAGAGGTTTGAAGAAACGGGTCAGGTAAGTTACTTATGCCCAGCTTCCTTTGAAGTAACTCAGTGCTTCTAAGTGCCCCTTGCTCACAAAAGTTAGGAAAATGATTTTGTTGTTTATGAGGGAAATTTGCATTTCAAGAGCCTTGTCTTTCAACATCAATGAAGATTATTTTGGTAGATGTGAAACAAGGAAAATAGGTAGCCTAATTCCATTTAAATAGAACGGTTTTCATTAAAGTTATACAATAATAGCAAATGGAGCCCAATACTGAAAGCAAAAACTTCTCTAAGTCCTTTAAACCTTGCCAAACCAAGACCCTGAGGAATCCTATTTTCTTATTTACAAAGTTGAAATGGAAATCATATTGACTCGATTGTCTTTTGGATGTAATTGAAAAAAACCTAAGAACTTTGTAACTAGGACTGGCCAGAAAATAAGATTTCTGTTTTGCAAAGTTTTGATGTTTTGTAACATTTTGTGTTTTAGGATGGAACAAAAACAGAACTTTTGAACTTACTTTTGTAAAATTCAGAAAGTGACAGTGTCCCAAAATAGCTAGCAACAGATTTACCCCCCAGAAATGGGAGATTTAGTTTAAAGCCCTCTGTTCTGCCTGATCTGAAGGAGGCACTTGATCTTTCGCCTCTGAAGTATCATGGACACACCCTAATAGCAGAACTGTTGGTTGTTCTAGGGGTGCGGGGAATCTTTCCCCTGTTGGAGCTATTTCATTTTATATCAGTAATTAAGTATTCATTGGGCAAAAGAGAGGGGCAGGAAGCAGAAGCTTAGAGCACTTGCCTGAGTCAGGCGGAGTCAGCCTGGACCCCTCATATTTCCACAAACACTTTTGGTTTCAATAAATCAGCCATGTCAGATGAAAGACCTATTTTGTTGAAAAATTCCCAGCCAACTCTGTTTATAACTCCATTCTCGCGTCCTGGTTTCCAAACCAAACATTGCTTTTGGGGGGATGGAGTCAGATTTCTACTGCAGTTTAGCATCTCCCCAACTGCACTCATTTAATCCAAAAGTTTCTAACCAGTGGATGAAAGATGTTAAGGACAGTATCTGAGAGCATGAGACCTTTCCAGCTAAATAAGGAGCTCACAAAAATCTCATGTATTCTTCTATCTGCAATGCCAGCAGTCCCTACAAGTTCAAGTTCCGCTAGGTTTGTCATATGTTCACATAGGGAAGTGACTTGAGACTCTGTGCTTGTTTCACATGAAACCATTGCACAACCTTAGACATGAAGTATTTCAGCCATCGTTGATCCACTGCAGATTCAGATTTGAGCTATTAAAAGAATCTCTTTGAGTCACCCAGTTTTGAATGAACAAACCCATTTCTCAAGATGCCACCCAATGTGTGCTGTGCATATGGAGCCAAAGTCCAGCTAGTAAAGCTGATCTAGCTTGTCTTCAGCTAGCCAATGCCTTCAAAAGCATCAGCACTTTCTTGTGGGAGGGAGATTTCCATTTCTGGGGGGGGAAAAAGTCCTCTCCCACTCAAATTGCAGTGTATAAAACTTGGAACAAACCCCTGAAACTCATTATTAGCAAAGATATCAGGACTGGTGTCAATGGCTGCTCAGGTACAAATGCCAGTCAGGCAATAACTAAAGACAGATTCCTCATGCTGCCAATTTACATGTTTTTTGCTGTTTCATCAATTTTGGTCTCCTGGGATTAGGGACTGGTAAAACACAGATTTGTAGCCTTTAAGGCAACTGCTAATTTCAGACCAAGATGAAGATTTTTGTAACCTGTAATTGGAAGAAATAGCTTTTGAAGCTTGGGCAGAGATGATTGTATACATTTTTGCGCTAGGTTTCACTGGAACACACTCTTCTAGCATTTGCCCTAAATATATTTCTAATTAGAGACAACTACTGGTGGTTGAAGGTTTTTTTTCCCTTCCTCTCTCCATCTTCCCCCCACCCCACTCCCTTGTAAATGATATAGGAGCTGGCTGAGCTTTTGGATGAAGAAAAGCTTAGTGGAGTCCCCGTGCTCATATTCGCTAACAAGCAGGATTTGCTGACAGCTGCCCCTGCTTCAGAGATTGCCGAGGGACTGAACCTACACACAATCCGGGACAGAGTCTGGCAGATCCAGTCTTGTTCAGCTCTTTCAGGAGAGGGAGTACAGGTGAGGCTCTGGAGAAGGCTTGCTGTGCTAGCAGGCCATCTGTAAGAGATTGTTGTCTGTTGATCTGCAGGGTGGGGCTGGACTGGCTGCCTCACAAAGGACGGTCAGCGCAGCCAAGCCCTTGCAGCGCAGAACGTGGGGGGCGCGTGTCTCGTCGCCTTTGCAAAGGGAAGGGGGAGCTGTGGGCCCTTGGGATCTCTCCATCCCCAGGAAAGGGGAGAGTGATCACCTCCCCACCCAGGACCCCTTGGCTGGACCGAATGAAGACACTGATTTATTTTAAAGAGACTGCTGTCAGGTTAATCATTTTCACAAAACAAATCGTCTTTTACTATTAACCCCTTTGACTGTTACAAGTGCGCACTTTAGCAATCTGATTTACCTTCACTACTAATGTCGTTTGGCGTTTTGCTCAACCCAGGCGCCAGAGAGAAACTGATCAATTTTTCTGATCCAGAGAAACGCAAGAGTTGCACACGGGGCAAGGACCACTTCTAATGGCAGCATGTGGGGCAGCAAAAACCCACCGAGGGGGCTGAGCTGTGTTCCTGTGCTGAACTGTAATAGCTGTGTCTTGGGCTCCTGTGCTGTAGCCAGTTCCTACAGTATAGTAGCTCTTTGTAATGTAAATGGGACCTAGGTTTGTTTATTTCACTCTTAGGCTTTCCTGAATTAATGAAATATTTGCAGTGCTCGCAATCCGAGCAGTCAGGAGTACTCCCTTCACTGATATTTAAAGAAACAGAATGGTGAAGACATTTGTCTTCATTGCAGTTTCAGTAAAACCTTATTTGTAGATGCTACAGAGCTGTTCAGGATAGTCAGATCTTAAGCTGAGTATAAAGAGTCACAGAACAAGCCCGCAATACTGAGTGGGCAGTAAAATGGCAGATGAAATTCAGTGTTGACAAGTGCAAAATAATGCACATGAGGAACAACAATCCTAACTATACACATATGACGAGGGACTCAAAATTAGCTGCCATTACTCAGAAGCAGATCATTGGGAATAGTAGCTTAGTGCTCATCAAAGGCCGGAGAGGAAAATCAAATGCTAGAGAATTATCAGAAAGCAAACAAGAAACATCCCAGAAAACATTTCTTTTGTAGCAGGATAAAGGCATGGTGGGCCCATATTTGAATATGACATTCATTTCCGCTTTTGCCCCATCTAAAAAGATTTCAGTAGTAGTAGAATCATAGAGTCCAGCAAAAAATTAGGTTGAAGGGCCTACAGGAGATCTTTAGACCAACCTCATGTTTAAAGCAGGGATAACTGTGAGTCTAGAGGAGGTTCCTGAGGGCCTTGTCCAATCAAGTTATAAATATCTCCAGGTATGAAGATTCCACAGCCTTTGTAGGTAACCTCTTCTAGTACTTAACTACCCTCATCAGAGAAAATACTCTCCATATATCTGCTGAGAATTAGGAGAGCTTAGAGAATCTTCTGTCGAGAATGATGAGTAGCACAGAGTGGCATCTGTACACAGGGATAATAAATAAATTAGGACTTGCAGCTTGGAAGAGAGAGGACAGAGTGGGAACATCTTCAGGATTTATAAAATAAGGTATAAAAATGTCAGATAGACTATATGCTGTTTTTCACATTGCTAGAGGAAGGGTGTTGCTAATGAAATAATCAGACAGCAGGTTAAAAGAAATAAAAATAAGTGCTTCTTTGTGAATTGCATAATTAAATTGTGGATCTCATCAGCACAGGATGTTGTGGAGACCAAAATTATCACTCGGTTCAGAAAAATACTAAGTGAATTTCTGAAGAAGAGATCCACAGGCAATCACTGACCACTAAGATCTGGAGGCAACTTTTCAATGAGGAACAGCTTGGGCCATGGACTGAGAGGGAAGAACAGAGCAAGGGAGATCTTATTCGTACATGTTCTTTCCCTTGGCATCCAGAAAGGGGATGTTGGCCTGGATGGACCATCAGTCTGACCCAGTACAGCAGTTCTTCTGATTTAAAATTCTTAACCCGAAGTTTAGACCTAAACATAGTAGATGGTGTTCTCCAAAGGGACTTTATTTAGTTAGCTAAGATACAAATCCAGCTATGCTGCAGCCAGTCTTGTGAAAAGCTTCAGCTCTAATCTTTATTTTGAAGTGGTGGTAGTAGAGGGAAATGCATTCCACAATGGCAGTGTATATTCAAGTCCAAAGAAATGTGATCAAGAAAGTGAGGCTGCAGTTTACAGGATTGCAGGCAGGCATAGGTCACCTTCTTCCCTCCTCCAGGCCCTCCTCTGGTTTATGGAGGTCCAAGTGAGCTCTCCAGCTGTGAAGGGGCAGTGAAGCGGCAGATGAAATTCAGGGACGCGTGTTGGATGTGGAAGAACTAAATGATAGAAAGTGGCGCTTTCTGTTTGTGAGCTTTGAAAAATGCCTCCTTCTCAAGCTGATCTGTGGGCTCTCTGGAGTGGGCTGCACACTTCCTCGTTGATAGCGCCTTCTTACTGTGCCTTCTCCTTGAAGTACAGTGCATCCCTATACATTCAACAGAGTAAAATACACAGCCCAATACTCTACACTAGGGACATGAAATCTGCTTCTGCATTCAATTCCAGAAAACAGAAGACAGGAGCTAAATAAAAGTATTTGCAGGCCTGTATATTTTGTTCATCATGCTTATCTAGACAAATTAATTTAGGTACAGGCCAGATAATGCCCCGCTTTGTTGTCCACAGTCTCATTGCCCTAAATACTGCAGCTTATTCCATAAATGATTATTGCAGAAAGGTCAGGGAAGTTGCAAATTTTCTACAGCTTACAGAAAGAGCCCCTACGTTTCTCTTCTGCCATAACTCCAGCCCTGTCAAATCAGACAGCAAGAATGCCAAGCTCTCCCTTTCCTTGGAAATTCATTGAACAAAATGGTTTGGGAGATGGCTTTTAAACTATACCTGGATCAGCCCAGGAAGAAATGGAGTGTTCAGTCCTGGGACTCTAAGGAGAGGTCAACTCTCAAAATCTAGGGGAATCAAAGAAGGACTTGTTTAAAGAGTGAGATTTAAAGAAAGGTGGTTTTGAGGATCATGGTACACAATATCTCTACCAGTGGCTCAAAACGGGAGCTCTCTATGTGTAGTTAAATCTCAGGTCACTGCTTTAAGGACTTCTTTGAGAAATGACTATGAGTGACAGCAAAATAAATGAAGACATGGAAGCATCAGGTATTCAGAATGAAAGCCAAGGAGCAAGCACGTTAACCGTCGCTGCTGATGGAATATGTTAGGTAGAGTAAAATTGGAGACGTCGCTGACGGATTTTGCAAGGAAGAGTGGTGGCAGATCTAGCACTGAGTACACACAGGAACAGAGTTTATAGGGGAAGATTTTTGTGATAGCTTGAAGGAAGCGCAATGAGCAAAGATAAATAATGCCGATACATGAAGGAGAAATAGTTTGAAGGTCATTTAATTAGTTTAGCTGCTAGCACTATGGTGTATAGAATTGGGTAGTTAAGACTGGGGATTTCAAGGTTAATGAGATTAGATTATGGTTAATAGAATGATATAAATTTAGAGAATTTAACTATTATTTGAAATGGGTTATTTAATAAAACTGTTAATTAAGGAGGCAATCCATATTGTCATCTTCTCTTTTAAAATTAACCGTTGGGGACTGTAGAAAAGGGGCCCGGCAATGTCCTGGGCAAGCTCAGAAGAGAGGTGACTGGGTTAACTGGAAACCCCATGTAGTGTCCTCTGGACGCCAGCTGGTAGCCCCAGTTATGCCAGCTGAAGACTTCATTACCTCCTGACTGTAACCGTGGGCAGCACTTGTCTTGTTAATCAGACTTCACGGTGCCATTGAGGGAGGAGTGGCATCCCTCATGCTTAGAGGCTTTTTCAAGCAAAATGTCTACTTGGGTCTGATTTTATCCTTCATCTCTAGTTAGGAAAGCAAGAGAGCCTTTTCTCCCCACCACAGCCATTTGGGCTCTACCTGTGGAGCAGAGTCCTGCACCAGCTTACGCTGAGACCCTTGCACAGGGTACAGCAAGCGAGGGAGGTGACTGCCGATGTCAGCAGAGAAACATAAGGGAACTGTTGCCTCACAACGGCTCTCTGGTGCCACATAGGCTCTCTTGGGGTTGCGTTTTGTGACCAGATCTCCAGTTGTAGTCCTTGGCGTGCAAAAGCTGTGTACATTCCACCCTGGCTGGCTGGGGTGGGGTGAAAGCAGGCAGGACTCCCTGCTTTGCAGCCTGCCCTCTTGCTGGAGGTGTTATTTAGGGGCCAGGGTGTGTATTAAACATGACTCAAGGCTTTGGACCGGTCCGTGCTCTGCAGCTTGTTTCTTGTCTGAAGCAAGAGTCTCCGATCAAGGCAGCAGGAGCTCAGCCTGCCCCGAGGAATCGTCCTCCAGAACGATGCTGCAGCGTATTGTGTCCGGAGTCTCCCAAGCATAACGGCTCCCTGGAGACCATTAAAAGCCAGTGGAACTGAGAGTAGCCACTAAACTTCTCTAATTTATGCCAGAGCTGGTCTGGCCCAAAGGACTGTGGGAAGGGCTGAGCCGCCTTCTCCTCCCTGGCTGTTTCAACCCAGTTGAGAATGAAGCCCAAGACCTAAGTTACACTGATGCTGCGATTCAGCACTTTCATAAGGGCAAGATTCAGAACAGGATCCCCCAGCAACGTTGTATCCTCAGAGCTAGGTTTTGTCTTACATGTCTTAGCCAGGGCAGGCTAGATGGGGATCTTCCATATCTTAACAAGGTTCTGGGGCTACTTGTAAATGTGATTTAAAACCAATTTCGATGACTGCAGCTCTCCTGGGGCAGGCAGAGCCGGTGCTTGTTGAGGAAAAGCAAACGTATTTCCAGATTACAGGGCAAAGTCTTGCGATTTTTAAGCAGGGTAGGGAGGGAGTCTACAGCGCTGCATCAGGGATACAAGGTCTCAGAGGACAAAAGAGAAGCTTGCACCCAGGCAAAAAACAATGGATAATGTACTTGCGGGAGCATGTAAAAGCCAGCCTGTGTGATGGCTGGAGGTGCAAAGAAATGACAGATAATGAAGGCACAGTCCTAGCTGTGCAGAGGGAGAAGAAAGTGACAGTTAAAATAACGCACACCAAAAGTGCTAGAGATGGAGAATTTTGCACTTGCCTGACCCAATTTGTTATGGCAGACAGCGGATTACATGAAAGGATTAAGCTTTGCTGTCCTTAAGGTCACGTTAGGGGTCACAAGTTTGTGGCCTTGCCTGATCCCTGGCTTGCAGGGGAGCAGAAATCGGGAGGCTTTTTATGGGGTGGAAGGGACTTGTTCGCTGTGTTTGAAGTCAGATTACTTCACTCCCATAGCCGCAAAGCTGATAATGCAGAGAATAAGCAAGCAGTGGGCTAATCTCAAGCAGGACTTTTTATTTCTCCGGGGAAGGCTCTACCAGTCCTTTCCCAAAGGGCGTTGGAGTACAACTCCCTTGGCACAATAGCAGATGTGACTGCAGCAAGGCGGGGTTGTGTCGAGCAGCATTTCTCTGCAAGGAGCATTATCCTCTTCCCTGGAGTTCTCTCTCTTTGCTTTGGTAAAGTTTACTAGCTGCTTGTCAAGGAGCTAAGAGAGGCAAAGCTGAAAGATCTGAAATCTTTCCCTGGCTAAGTTTTCCCAGGGTTGACTTGAGGCTGGAATACTGATATTGTATCCATCTCCATCCTCAGAGTACCTGCCAATGTCTCTGAGTCTCAACAAAGCAGCGCAAGGACATCTATCAAGATGTAAATGTTACTGTAGGGATTGTACCTTCTGCACAGAGCTATCTTTTAAGCATGCAGACATGCAGATATAGGGACAAAGTGTGTAGGATGACAACAGTTGACTCCTTGCGGACTTGACTCTTTCAAGCACCATTTCCTTCTTCCCGTGAGCCTTCCCCATAGCAGCTCTTTGTGTTTATAGCAGCTTCCCTGGATTTCGCTATCTTACCAGCCCTCCATCCTGCTTCAAACCTTAGGTAGAAAAACTGTAAACGTACCTTTAGTTTCTTTTGCTTTCCATTGCATTTGCTCTTCTCCAAAGCATTTGGGGACACTGCAGAGCACACGCCTCCCCAACAAAGTTGCACCAGAAGCTACGGATGTAGCTACGGTGTGGCTGAAGATGAGGAAGGTGTCTCACACGTACATCTGGTACAACACATGTAGAGCTGAGCATGTTCCTTTTCCCTGTATCACTGTCAGGCAGGGAGGTATTTACAATTAAATGTGATTTTTCCTGTCAATTACCTCATGCCAGAAGAGAGTTTTTAAAGATCTATTCCTGCTTTAAAAGTTCGGTGACCTACTTACGTATTTCAAGCCTGTTTGGAGTTCACCTTTCCTCTTGCATTTTGCTATGTCATTCTTTTGCCCTCATTATATGCTTGATGCAGCCAGGCTCCCAGCCATGGTAAATCCCATCATAAACTCTGCTTTATGACCCTCGCTGCGCTGGTGCTGAAACGGTCTGTCTTTCCCCTTCCCGAGCTCCCAAATGGCAGCAGGCAGAGTTTTAATCACTGTGAATTCAGGTTGTGGTCAGATTAGGTAGAAGATAGGATGCGTGTTTGTTGTTTTGCAGTGATGTATTGTTTCTGGGATTACTGTGCTGAATAGCAGAGGGTGTCAGCTGATATTTATTACTTTAAGCTGTCTCAGCTGTTCTGGTTCAGCAAATAAACCTACATTCAAAATGAATGAGGAGCTCTGCTTGCCTTGTATGCCATGATGTGTGCAAATGTGATTATTGCTTCCGAGGCAGGGGAAGCTGAAATCATTGTGGGAGCATTTTTAGTTATTTATTTATTTTTACTCTTTGCAGGCAATCATGCAGATTTCTAAAGCACACAATCAAGCCAAAGGCTTGACACCTCTCCTCCTAGCCCCATTGTTAAGCCCTGGCATTCCTCATGCTGGGAATCACTCGCTCCCTCTCTCTCTAAAGTGATAAGCTTTAAACCACGCTATTGATTGCTTAAGGCATTACATGTTTTACACCTAGGTTATCAGTGTTATTGAAGGGGGAAGACACAAAGCTACTGGGCCTTAAAATGAATCTACCTCTTGTCTTTTCCCATTTGCTCTGAGGATTTCAGACAATTTGTTTTACACTGATTTCTGCTGTGGAGATAAATAAATGAAACTGGAGACATCAACCCTCCCCAAGGTTAGAGTTAGAAGTGTTATTAGTGTAGGGCCTCATGTGCACCCCAGCACAAGCTGGGCTCGCTTATTCTTTATTTAACGCAGCAACAAGGGCTGATTTCAAAAGTTGCTGCTTCCCCTTCAGATAAGAAGTGTCACATAGCGCAGCTATCAAGGTGAATTGGTATTTTCAAGTGAGAACCTCTCTGCTTCTGATTAAGCCCTGAGGACTCCCTCTCTTCTCTCTTAACTCTTTAGCTCCCCTCCAATGTGGCCACCACCTTTGTGGCTGAGGGGCAACATGGAGGCATGGCGGTGGGTCTCAGCTCACCCGAAGGGCCTGCCGTGCTCTGCCTTTGGCCGTCTGTCCTTGGGGGAGCTGAGGGCCTTGGCAGCCTTTTGGCAGCCTGGGGACAAGGGCGTAGGAAGCCAGCAACACTGCTACCAGGGGGCTAGCAACGATGCTGGCCCAAAGGCTCTGGCCTTTCTTAGGTTCTAACTATCATTTTAATGATCCAGAAATGACCATTGAACGTAGTACAGTGAAATTCCCCCTTCAGAACGCCAAGGTGACGTTTGCCCAATTTCCAGGCAGAAAGACATGCCACTCCTCTCATCCACAAAACCCTACCTGCCTTCTTTCTGCCCTGAGCCTCCCTGTTGGCAGAGATACCTTGTAGGCAGGAGGTAGTGGATTTGACGGGACACAAATATGAGGAGACTGTGCATCTTGCACTCCGTTCTGTGCATCTCACAACAGATAAGTGACAGGAGCAGATAAAATGTCGCTTTGCCCTTTCATAGCTTATCCCATTCTCGGATCTCAGCAATAAACTCACGACTCGGGTGTTCACAGCAGAAGTGTTACCATCCTGCTTGCAGTGGTCAGAGATGTCATGCACACATTTTTATAGAAATACTTGGAAGAGTATATCGGCCTTTTAAAACATGACCACATCTATTATCACTGAACCCCTGTGGGACCCCTCAGGGCTCATTTTCTGTGGGGGTCCTGCGGCACAGGGAGCAGGGTCCAGATCCAGTTATTTCAGTGGCTTTCGTGGATCTGGATTTCAAAACTTGCAGCTGAGCAGAGACTTAGAGCCGTATTCTTAATAGGGAGCTGACTGTATAACAAACAGCCCCCTAAAATCCACGGTCTCAAAGATAAGATGACTTGCCTGAGGTTACACAAATCATCTGTAGCTGGACCTGGAACTGAGCCTTCATCTGCCACTGACGTACCTTGACTGCAAAGTGATCCTTCCTCAGAGGACCTACGCGTAGCGACATGATGAGATGATGATACTTTTTATGGTCAGATGAAAGATTTAATAACCTCTGTGTGGCAACATCTACTGAGCAAGCATTTGTTTTTTTACCCTGGCGTTTCTGGGCACAGAGGGCAGGCGGGGGGTAGATGAGGAGGCAGAACACGGTGCTTGCAGAATGGTGGTCGGGTGGGATTGGGGGATTCCTTTTCCCTTCGCTTGACTAACATTACCTTTCTCTGTCTGAAGGACGGCATGAATTGGGTGTGCAAAAATGTCAATGCTAAGAAGAAATAAAGCATTCTGAGCTGCATGGAAATGGAGGAGCGGTGGGAGCAGAATTTTAGCCTGAAAACACTAATTTGCTGCTTTCTGACCAAATGTTTTTCCATCTGTGCACAGCTACAGCTGTTAAAAGAAAAAAAAAAAAAGAGAGTGAAAAAAGGGAGCAACATCGGTTAAAACCTACTGCTGGATTTGGAACTTGACCTGCTCTTTAGTATCGTTTTTTATCCCAATAAAGGAATTATATATTTCCTCCCTATGCATAAATAGTATTAAATGTCTGATTAGCAAGCAAGTTTGTAAGCAGAAGCAAGACTGTGATTCAGTGTGGAGCAGAGGGACTGGTGAGTTACTGTAGTTGCTTAGATGCATAGGACCTGCCCTATACGTGCGGGTTTGCGGTTGCTGAGGCCACGCTCAGGTGTCAGTCACAGCTTCCCCTCAGTGACAGATAAAATGCGGTTGTGTTACCAGTTGTGGGTAGTTTCTTAAAATAAAGCTGCTAAGGAGTCATTTGTGTAATGAGGGTAGAAGACTTCCACATATTCCTATAGCCATAAAAGAGGAGTTTGATTATAACGAGGCACTATTGCACTGCGACACCGCTGTAGAAGGGAGAGAGGGTTATATGTGTATAATTGAAGCTCTTTGCAGTTGAAATAATGCAGGATGAGCGTGCCTAGGGCTTTTCCTGCAGCTGAAGGAGAATTTAGCCCAGCATTTCACCTTGAGCCAGCAAAAACATGGTTCCTATGTTCAGTAAGTTCCATATGTGAGATTAGTCTTGATGTTGAACAATCCCTGTTGATTTTCCCTTGATGTTAAGGCAACTCTGCAGCAAAATGCAATTAAGTCCATGATTATGTTCTAGAATGAGATACCAGGTCCCAGGTTTCCTTTTTGAAATGTGCAAAATACATTCTCCTACCCCCCTTCCTCGGCAGGCCTTGCCTAGCCCTCCGGAGGACTCGAGGGCCTGCCCCACGGCGGGCTGGCTGCCCAGGGCCTGAGGTCCCCCCAGCCCGGAGCCGGCTGCGGATTGCTGTGGTGGAGGGTGAGGAGCCTGATGAACGGCAGATGGGAAGCACGCTTTAAAACGAGGATTGATTCTTTCCCGAACTGGCTTTCCTCTAAAAGGATGCGGTCGCTGAAATAGGAAAGAGAATGTGTTTTCCACCTCCTCGTCCCTGATTCAAATCTAGCCCCAGCTGACAGTGAGCAGGAGTCATTAGCACGCCGAAGCAGCCATGTCCTGCATGAAGCGAGCTTGGTGACTCCTGGGCCAGTTTCTAATGCACAGATGGTAAAATAATCCCACTGCCCTGCTTGCCAGCTTTGTTTGCTGCCTGCCTGCAAAAGGCCAGAGAATGACTAGGGACTGCATTACCCCTTCCACCTCTTGGAGACGGACTGGCGGGCAGTATGGGGAAAGCTGCGTGTCCTAGAGCATGTGGCTTTACCACGCGTCAGCGAGTTGACTCATGGACCCAGGCAGACGGCTGACACCCCTGGAGCTCCCAGCTCTTTGCTCCTCCCTTCCCCTGGACGTCTCCACCTCACGGCAGAAACATCTGCACTGTACGTGAAGCAGCCCCTAGACGCCTACGTGTTGCAGATTAAAATCATGTGGGGCTGATTCTGAGTCCCCCCCCCATACATCAGGATGTACAGTAGCGGTTC